ATCCTACTCCTCCCTCCCATCCCTTCCAATTGTGCTGATTTTCTCTCTATCCGTAGACGCATGTCATGGCGGACCTGAAACTTCAAATAGGGCCCCGATGTGCTTTGCACAATCGGGAAAGTGGAGCTGCGTATATTGGAGGAGGAGGAAAATGAGGAACGAGGAAGACGAGGACGAACCGAAGCAGCAGGAGTGGAAGGGACGGGGGGAGCAAGAGGACCAGGGGAAGGCGGAGGGGCAAAGGGGGGGAAACAACGATGCGGAAGGATGTGGATCCAGAAGTGGCCCAAGCTGCGGCAAGAGCGCCATTTTGACCGACGGGGGCAAGCGTCGATCCTTGAAATGAGGCCTACGCTGCAGCGGAAACGCCATTTTTGAAGTGCCAAAAACGTTGGGATTGGAACAACACACACCAAACAACTCGGACCAACCATGTGTAAAAACAATACGTGCGCGGAGGGGGCGCGCCACTCTCAGCACATCTCCGGGGGAGAGAGAGAGAGAGAGAGAGAGAGAGAGAGAGAGAGAGAGAGAGAGAGAGAGAGAGAGAGAAGAAGGAAGAGGACGTAGAGAGAGAGAGAGAGAAAGAGAGAGAGAGAGAGAGAGAGAGAGAGAGAAAAAGAGAGAGAGAGAGAGAGGAGAGTAGTACTCACGATGCGGAATCATGGAAGGAAAGCGTCTGTGCATCCCCCCGCTGAGCCAATGCCCCTCCTGATGTTTGGGACGCACTCGCCCGGGTCAGCACAAGCCTGGGCAGGCCAGGGCCCTGTCGCGAAGCCCGCCCGGTCGCTCAATGGCTCCCGGACCCGGGCCATCGGAGGGCGGAGCGGAGGAAGAGAATCGGCCCCGCGTGGCCCCCAAACCCGGGTCGGCCAGAGGGCAACGGTTGACCCCCGCATACGTAAACCCCGAAATCTTGACCTTCGTGCCATGCCAGTCGACCCGGGAGGGCCCGCCGGCGTCGATGATGCCGCGGCGCCGTGTCGGGAGGTGGCGCCCGCGCGGGCGCCATGGGTTGCGACGACGACCACGACCACGACCACTACCACGGCGACGGCGACGCTGACGCTGACGCCCGTGAGCGCGGACCCAGCTGCGCGGCCCCCCCTCCTCCTCCTCCTCCTCCTCCTCCTCCTCCTCCTCCTCCTCCTCCTCCTCCTCCTCCTCCTGCTCCCCCCCTCCTCTTCCACCTCCTCCTCCTCCTCCTCCTCCTCCTCCTCCTTGTCTTCCTCCTCATTCACCACCATAATAATCGCAACCGAATTCATAACCATGACCATCCATCATCATCAATTACCGTCACCATCGCCGTCACCATCAGTACCACCATCATCGCACCACTTTTATCATCATCCATCATCAACCACCATCATCCATCACCAATCATCATCGCCAACACCCATCATCACCCACCATCACCCGTCATCGCCATCCATCATCATCATCCACCATCCTCGCCGCCAGTGACCGTCATCCACCACCATCGAGAATTATCACATGATCGACCCACGAACCCGGAAAGGAATATAGAACTGTAACACATGGCAGCGTTTTCAAAGACACCTGATTGGGTGACGGGCAAATGTAATGCTGAGTGTATCGATCTTGATGTACCCTGCCGAGGGCTGTGCTGTGCTGCGCCGTGCTGAATTGCGATGTGCCATGGCGCGACTGTGCTCTATAGCGTCGTGGATCGAGTCCTCCTTTGCATCCGAGTCCTGACCGAACTGATCTGGATCTTAAGCTCGAGCTGCCTGAACACATAGTAGCTGCCCCAGAGCTAATGGACAGGGGAACATGCCAGGAGGACGCGCCGCGAAACGTCCCAAGGGATGCGCCAGGCGACGTGCCAGGGGACGCGCCATGGGGTCGCACCGTAGGACGTGCCAAAGGGACGCGCTACGGAACGTGCCAATGGATGTGCCACGGAATGTGCCAGGGGACGCGCCACGCGACGTGCCAGGGGGACTCGCCAAGGGACGCCCCACGGAACGTGCCAAGGAACGTGCCAAGTTGCAATGCTGAGTGTATCGATCTTGATGTACCCTGCCGAGGGCTGTGCTGTGCTGCACCGTGCTGAATTGCGATGTGCCATGGCGCGACTGTGCTCTATAGCGTCGTGGATCGAGTCCTCCTTTGCATCCGAGTCCTGACCGAACTGATCTGGATCTTAAGCTCGAGCTGCCTGAACACATAGTAGCTGCCCCAGAGCTAATGGACAGGGGACATGCCAGGAGGACGCGCCGCGAAACGTCCCAAGGGATGCGCCAGGCGACGTGCCAGGGGACGCGCCATGGGGTCGCACCGCGGGACGTGCCAAGGGGACGCGCTACTGAACGTGCTGGGGACAAGCGTTTCGCTCGAGACATCCTATCAACAACATCAGAATTCCTACGCGCGGGACGCGGCACGCGCGAGACATCCTCGGAATTCCTGCGAGCGGGACAAGAAAACAAGAACCTCGCCTGAGACATCCTGTGAATTCTGGCCCCCCACGAGGCCCCCGCTCGAGACATCCCCCAATTTTGCAAAAAGAGTTTCGCTCGAGACATCCTCAACACATCATGAAAAACAAGCGTTTCGCTCGAGAAATCCTGTCAAAATCAAAATTCCTGCGCGCGGGACGCGGCACGCGCGAGACATCCTCGGAATTCCTGCGCGAGGAGCGCTTTTCCGTGTCGCGGTCGGCTCTGCAAAACCAGCGTTTCGCTCGAGACATCCTCAACAAATTCTGAAACCAAGCGTTTCGCTCGAGACATCCCCAACTCTGCAAAACCAGCGTTTCGCTCGAGACATCCTCAACAATTACACTACACCTGCGCTCCCAAGGCCACGATCCCTTGTAAATTACGCTACGTCAGCGCTCCCAGGGCCACGATCCGTCGTAAGGGCTCCTGGGCCCTCCTGGGTCTTCCTTGGACCTCTTGGGCCCTCCTGGGCTCTCCTGGAGCCTCCTGGAGCTTCTCCTGGGCCCTTCTTGGGCCCCCTGGTGCCTCTTGGAGCCTCCTGGGTCCTCCTGGGCCCTCCTGGGCTCTCCTGGGCCCTCCTGGGCTCTCCTGGGCTCTCCTGGAGCCTCCTGGGCCCTCCTGGGCGAAGTCAAGGTCCGAAAACACATGGGACTTGCCACATTTCTGAAATTCGGTGCCACCCCTCACGCAGGTCGGCGGGGTTAGGATCCGAAAACACAGGGGATTTGCCACATTTCTGGGATTCCGTGCCACCCAGATCGGCGGGGTCAGGGTCCAAAAACACAGGGGATTTGCCACATTTCTGGGATTCCGCGCCACCCCTCACGCAGATCGGCGGGGTCAGGGTAAAAAAACATAAAGGATTTGACACATTTCTGGTATTCCGTGCCACACCTCACGCAGATCGGCGGGGTCAGGGTAAAAAAACACAGGGGATTTCTGCTATTTCCGACCTTCTGCAACTTCAAAAATCCAGAACTCCGTTCCCAGCGCCGTTCCGGAGGCCGCGGTACCTCGTTATTTATCGAGCGAACGCGTTTACCTTGTTTTTTATCGTTTAAAGTCGATGTCGGAAAAAAGTGGACTTCACCTGTGAAATATCGAGGTTTCCTTAAAGGCAATAAAATTCCAAGAGCACGATCTGCGTGAGGGGTGGCGAAAAATGGCCTTCGTCCTCACAGTTGGAATCCGCCGGCCCCCTTCGACCTCGTAATTTATCGCACAAGAATTCCGCCGGCCCCCTTCAAGTAAAAACCGGGGGGTAAACCAACTAAAAGAGAACCCTGGGCCCACGCCCTTTCCGGGAAAAAACGTCATCATCACCCACCACCACCCGTCATCACCACCATGTATCATCATCACCATCATCATCATCATCATCATCCGTCATCATCCACTACCAACATCACCGTTCATCACCATCATCCTGCATCACCCGTCAACATCTGTCACCAACATCAGGATCATCCATCGTCATCGTGGCCATCCATCGTCATCCACCATCATCCACCGCCATCGTCAATCGTCATCGCGTGGTCATCCGTGAACATCCACCAACATCATCCGCCATCCTGCTCATCCAACATCACCCACCACAACCTATCATGACCAACCATCACCACCAATCATCACCATCCATTATCATCATCACCCACTATCATCAACCGCCACGACTTATCAGCCTGACCATCACCCATTTTCACGATCTTTTTATACATCATCATTGTCATCTTCCGCCGTCATCATTCCCATCACCCATTGCTACCTACCACCATGATCATCTATCATATCCATCACCCGCAATTACTCACGATGATCATCATCCATCATCGCCCACCATCATTTAGAAAACCACCCCCACCATCATTCATAGTCACAGCCCCTCTTGATCATCCACCACCACCAACCATCCAACGTCACCAGTATCTTCCAATGTGATAACTCATCATCGCCATCATCCATAACCACCCATCTACAATCATCATCGGCCGCCACCCACCACACATCATGATTACAACCATCCACCACCATCATCAGCAATCGCCATCATCATCCACCATCCATCATCACCACCACCCACCACCATCATCCAGCATCATTCGCCATCGTCCGTTCGCGCTTTTCACCATCAGCCACCATAACTTACGCCATGGTCATCAACATCATCCACCATAACCAACTGCCATCACCATCTCCGTCCACCATCACCAACACACATCATCATCTACCATCATCCATCACCATCAGCACCTTCACCACCACCCACCATCACCATCACCAAGCATGATCATCCATCATCATCCACTTCCTCCTCGCTCGTCCTCCACCATCATACTCACCCACCATCGTACACAATCATCCATCATCATCCACCTACTCCTCCGCCTCGTCCTTTTCGCTCGTCTTCCACCTTCACTGTTGTCACCAGCATCCACCATCATCTTTCATCATCCACCAACTCGCTCCTTGCTCGTCCTCGCTCGTCCTAGCGTTGCTTCCGAGAAGGCCGTTGGCAGCGGGCCGCGGGCGCTCCCCCGCGTCCGCGCCGCCCTCCGCGGGCTGGGGGCGCAGCCGGCGGCTGGCCCTGCCCCGGGCGGCGGCGCAGGAGAGGGTAGGCGAGGACGAGGAGTGAGGCGGCGGCGGCGGCGGCGGAGGAGCAGGAATAGGAGTGGGATGATTATGATTATGAGTATGATTATGATCATGGTCATGTTTATGATGATGACGACGATGATGATGATGCTGCTGCTGATGATGTTGTTGAAGCTTGAGACGATGGAGATGATGATGAAGAGGAGGATCAGGAGGTGGTGGTGGTGATGAGGTGAGGATGATGATGAAGCGGAGGACGACGTCGACGACGGGCGAGGAGGAGGAGGAGGTTAGGCGAGGAGAAACGAGGACGACAGGCGAGGACGAGCGAGTGCATGGGATCGGGTCAGAAGGCGGCGCAGTTGCTGTGGCTGCTCCTCTTCCTCCTCCTCCTCGTCCTCCTGTTCCCCCACTTTCCTCCTCCTCGTCCTCTTCTCCTTTCTCCTCCTCCTGCTCGTCCTTCCCTCCTCCTCCCCTCGTCCTCCTCCTCCCCTCGTCCTCCTACCCGCCCTTCCCTCCTCCTCCTCCTCCTCCTCCTCCTCCTCCTTCTCCTTCTCCTCCTTCTCCTCCTGCTGCTCATCCTCCTCCTCGTCTTTCTCCTCCTCATCCTGCTCCTCCGCCTCCTCTTCTTCTTATGATTATTATTACTCTTCCTTCTCCTCCTCTTCCCCTTCCTCCTCCTCCTCCCCGGGGGAAGTGGAGGAGGAGGAGGAGGAGGAGGAGGAGGAGGAAAGGGAAGATGAGGAGGAGGAGGAGGAGGAACACCAGCCCAGCCGCTACAGTCCGCCCCCCCCCCCCCCCCCCCAAAACAATGATGGACCCACGAACCCGGAAAGGGATATAGACATGTGGAGCATGGACACGTTTTCCATGATACCCAACTGGCAACACTCACGAAACATCCCACGAGACACTTCACGAAACATCCCACGAGACACCTCACGAAACATTCCACGAGACACCTCACGAAACATTCCACGAGACACCCACGAAACATTCCACGAGACACCCCACGAAACATTCCACGACGACACAACCACTCAACCAAGGCGGTGTGGTCGTGCTGGGGAGTGTCGTGCTGGGGTGTGGTCCTGCTGGGGGGTGGTCGTGCTGGGGGGTGGTCGTGCTGGGGGGGTGGTCGTGCTGGGGGGTGGTCGTGCTGGGGGCGTGAGTCGTGCTGGGGCGTGGTCGTGCTGGGGCGTGGTCGTGCTGGGGTGTGGTCGTGCTGTGGTGTGGTCGTGCTGGGGTGTGGTCGTGCTGGGGTGGGGTCGTGCGTGCTGGGGTGTGGTCGTGCTGGGGTGGGGTCGTGCTGGGTGGGGTCGTGCTGGGTCGTGCTGTGGGTGTGGTCGTGCTAGGGTGGGGTCGTGCTGGGGTGGGGTCGTGCTGGGGTGTGGTCGTGCTGGGGTGTGGCCGTGCTGGGGTGTGGTCGTGCTGGGGCGTGGTCGTGCTGGGGTGGGGTCGTGCTGGGGTGGGGTCGTGCTGGGGTGTGGTCGTGCTGGGGTGGTCCGCACCCTGTGATTTATCGATCGGGTCGTGCTGGGGGTGTGGTCGTGCTGGTGCTGGGGTGTGGTCGTGCTGGGGTGTGGTCGTGCTGGGTGTGGTCGTGCTGGGGTGTGGTCGTGCTGGGGTGTGGTCGTGCTGGCGTGGTCGTGCGTGCTGGGGGTGGTCGTGTCTGGGGGGTGGTCGTGTGGGGGGGGTGGTCGTTGCTGGGCGTGGGTCGTGCGGGGGCGTGGTCGTGCTGGGTGTGGTCGTGCTGGGGTGTGGTCTTGCTGGGGAGGGTCGTGCTGGGGTCGGGTGTGCTGGGGTGTGGTCGTGCTGGGGTGCTGGGGTGGGGTCGTGCTGGGGTGTCTGGTCGTGCTGGGGTGTGGTCGTGCTGGGGTATGGTCGTGCTAGGGTGGGGGTCGTGCATTTCGCTCGAGACATCCTGCCAAAATTCCAGGAAATCGTACAAAAACAAACGAATTAGTCGAGACATCATCGAAATTCCTTCGCGCGGGGCGCTTTTCCGCGTCGCGGTCGGCTCTGCAAAACAAGCGTTTCGCTCGAGACATCCTCGGCAAACTCTGCGGAGCAAGCGTTTCGCTCGAGACATCCTCAACACACGAAAAAGTGGCCCGCACCCTGTGATTTATCGATCGGGATTTCAAAAACAAGCGTTTCGCTCGAGACATCCTCAAATTTTAATTCGCCGGCCTCCTTCGACCTCGTTATTTATCAGGGAAAAAATTCGCCGGCCTCCCTCAAGCAGGCACCGGGGGATTAGGTTTACCAACTAAAAGAGAACCCTGGGCCCCCGCCCTTTCCGGGAAAAAAGGAGGAGGGACAGGACGAAACCAAGATCAAGTCGGGCGTGTCCCCCTACCCTACAGGGGCATTTTGGACGAGAACAATCCAATAATATAACAATATTTTGAACAAATACCCAGAATCACTAAAAACATCGTCCCCATACTATTTTTTTTGCTATTCTTGAATATTCCTCCTGTAGAGGAACAGGCCCGAGATAAACCCAAGATCGGGACACAATCGTATCGGGAGACAGCGTGGATCTCTGAGGTCAGACGGCTCTGGACGTGTCGAGCGCGGCGGCCGTTCCACAGCGTACTCGGGGGCGCTGCTCGAGAGCGTGCCTGGGACGCTCCGGGAGCGCTGTCTTCTGATCCTGGGCCCGCCCGAAGAGGAGCAAGCTGAAGCAATACTCCAGGTTTCGTAATAAAAGGGAGGGGGTCTCAACCCTCCCAGACGAGAAGCTTTGGACCTCCCCCCGTGGGAGAAGCCTCCAACACATCGTCCCCAGACCCCCCCAGGCCCTCCAAGGTAGCTTGGAAAAGACCCCCCCCCGAAATGAGACCCCCTCCTCTTTATTACGGCAGGTTCGCGTCGTGTCGACCCCGGCGTTGGTTTTCGACACCGCAGGGATCGTTCAACCTTGAACGATCGGCCGTCTCCGCAACGTCCGATCGTTCAACATCGATCGATTCTGGGTCGCCGGCGGCGTTCAACCTTGAACGCCCGCGCTGGGGTCGCCGCTGGTCGACACGACACTAACCTACCGTACGAAATCGCCCAGCTATGTACATGAACACGGCCCCTCGATCTGCGAGACCGGCCGCGTGATACGAACTTTCGGGCAATGCGTACTCTCAAAACCGGCGTGGATTCATGTACGTGTACGTCCTTCTTTCGCTCCTGATGGAAAAGACCCCCCCCCGAAATGAGACCCCCTCCTCTTTATTACGAAAGCTGGAGTGCCGAGTCGGGGAGCCTGATCGGGTCGGACTGTGCGTCGGATCGGGTCGGGTCGGCCGTGCCAGGGGGGGCCCAACGGCGCACAATGCAGGCAGCGGGCCGCCTCGGGTCGTCGGAAGAAGGCCGCATCGGATCGTCGGAATATCGGAGTCAAATTGGGTCGAATTGGATCCCAACTGGAATATCGGATCGTCGGAATATCGGATCGTCGGAATATCGGAGTCAAATATCGTCGAATTGGGTCGAGCCAACTGGAATCATGATCCCGGGTGCGAGGCGAGAGCTTGTCCGCAAACACCGCCTGGAGCATCGATCTTCGGGGCCCTCGGTCTCGTCTCGCGAGTGCGAGGCGGGGATTTGCTTCTGACCACTGCCTGGGGGCAGGTCTTCGGTAGTGGATGCCATGACAGTGGACAACCTAACAATCCTATTGTTGAAATAAACATGTGTTTAGAATGAAATGCTCAACACATGTTTGAGTATCATCTTTAAGACATGTTTGAAACATGTTTTAGACATCTGGGAACTATTTGGCAACACGCTTCCTCTCCGGTTATCATCGTCCACAAATGTTCGGGGACCTCGGCACGCAGTGTATGTGGATATTTGTGCCCCCCCCCAGGCCCAAATATGCATCGATATCCACCGCCCGCCGAGGCCCCCGAAGACTGCTGCTCGAGACGGCGGTGGTATGCATACGTCCCCATCTCGGACTGGGGACCCCGAAACAGTAAGGTGACATTCTTCCCCTCCATGGCTTCCTCCTCGATTCAGACCAGGGCTGGACCTACACGTTGTTTTTTTGTTTTGCTCTAGCTCTGTTCTTTGTTTCGCTGTACCTGCTTTCCTGTACCTCCCTTCCTAAACGAAACAGCAAGACACAGTCGAAGTCCAGCAAACCAGCGTTTAGGTCCAGCCCTGATTCAGACACCGGCGTGAGCATGTCAATACAGCGGCAACATGCATGTCACATAATACCTTTCTTGGAGGTAGCGTTGAAAATGACAGATGAAACGGGCAAAACTCGGAAAGCAGGGCGGTGAACTCGAACCCCCCGAAGACCTCACTGCACGATCCGTCGCCGCGCGGTTTTCAGACCCTGGAAGCCCGAATCGCCCGAGACATCCTCCTCGGATAACGACCCTAATCCCCAGGGAAGCCACACTGACTCACCCGACGGTGCGGTCACCGTACTTTTTGGGAATTCACGATGATCGAGGGGCGCATCTGATAGAGGAGCAGAAAGCTGCACAGGTAAGCACAAACTTCCAGAGGTCCGCGCGGACCTCCAAAAACTTACACGGATAATGTTCTGATGCCTTGGGTTGGGGGAGGACGGAGGGGGGAAGAGAGGGAGGGATTAAAACAGGGCTAGGATCGGAATAAATCGCTCCAGAGCGTTCCGGAGCGCTCTCAGAGCGTTCCAGAACGCTCTAAAGCGGCCGCGGCGCCCAATACATCCTCCAAACCCGCCGATTCTCAGAGATTTCGAGTTATCCCGATCCGATTTTGTCAAGATCTTCGCGTCGTTTTAGGGATGGGGAGAGGCAGTGGGACGGAGGGAAAAAGGGAGATCGCAGCACTCCGGGCCGCGGGTCAGCCCCGGCCCCCGGGCCGCGAGCGCCCGGCAGGCCGTCCTCGCATTCGCGGGAGACGCCGCATATGTAACAGGGGTGGTGGGTCTACCTCCTCCTCCTCCTCCTCCTCCCTCCTCCTCCCTCCTCCTCCCTCCTCCTCCCCCCT